TACAAGTAGTAGATTTATATAATAATATACTATAATAATATACTATAATAATATACTGTAAATTTATATAAAAGTAATCACACACACAAAGTTTAAAGTATATCGTTATAAATAATTATTTTATTTTTGTATATATAGATATTTTGAAGCGTATCGTGATGTTGGCTTGGAATTCTGGGCTCTGTCGCCTCAAAATGAGCCAGCCAATTACATCTATCTTTCACCAACTGTAAATCTTTCCGCAATGGCATGGACTTCCAAGGAAGAGCGCGACTGGATTATCGAGTACTTATCACCAACTCTAAAAAGAAAGGGCTTCGGGCACATCAAGATCTTTATAGGAGAAGACAATAGATTGATACTTCCGGATTGGCCGAAAAATGTATTTCAAGATGAAAGAGCAAGAAATATTATTTCTGGAATCGCGCTCCATTTTTACTTCGATAACGTGATCATGCCACATAACTTAAACGAAATAAAACAACTTTTTCCGGAAAAGTCAATAATATACACAGAAGCATGCATTGGATTTTTCGAAGGTTGGTAAAGATTAATTTTTATTTTCACATTATGAATTTATCATATTCTAAGATTCTTCTATTGTTAGCTGGTAGTTTAAACAAGATTAATTTTGAGTAAGACAAAAAAAATTAAATAAGACGAAAAACTTATTATGTTTTATATATATAGGATTAACAGAGTTCGAGTACTATGCATATTCCTGGGACCAAATCAAGTCGAAAAATCTTTAACCATTTTTTTTCGTCCTGCAAATAATTATCGAGATATCGTGAGTCAAAGATTGAAATTTTTTGTAAAGTATCAATCTCTGTAAAAAAATTATATTGTAATTTGTCATATTTCCCAATTTTTCGAAAATTGCTCGTCAAAAAAAAAAAATGGTAAAAAATCCCTGGATTTGATTTAATTCTAAGGATATATTCTTGCAATAGTGCACTTTTGTTAATAAAATTCTGTATATTCTTGACTTGTTATTATAATTTTATAAATATGTCTTCTGTAAGCTTATGGGGTTTTAATCTTTTTAAAGCAATTCTTTAGTTAAATAAAATTAATATTTTGTGATACTAAAACAAAAGACAGGAATTTTACATCAATGGGGATTCATTTATATTAAAGGATTAAGGCTTAAAGTTTTATAGGGTAAATACTAAATCACAATCAACGCGTTTGTCGCATATTGTATAATTCAATAGATGGCTATTTACAGAATAAATGGCTATTTACAGATCAAAAGGTAATCCTAGGCTCATGGAAGCGTGGTGAGATATACGCGAAAAATATTATCGAAAACATGTTGAACTGGGTATCCGCTTGGATCGATTGGAACATAGCTTTAGATATGACTGGTGGACCAAATTCGATCAACAATTTCGTTGATTCGCCTATAATAGTCAACAGCGCCGCTGACGAATTCTACAAGCAACCAATGTTCTACGTTCTTGGACATTTTTCAAAGTTCGTGAGCATTGCTCTTTTATATTTGAATTGTGTTATGCGTGCGTGTGTGTGTATATATGTGTAGTGACGTACTCGTAACATTAGTAACATATTAAAACGACATAAATTCGTGGTACAGTTAGAGTTAATGTTTTTTTCATAGCGGTTTTTTATTAGCGGTCTATATAATTATTAATTAAACTTTCCTTGATTAGGTACGTTCAACCTAATAGTGTGAGAATCGGTACAACAATGGAAAACATGGCAGGAATTGAAAATATTGCGTTCTCCACGCCTGACGGCGGCGTCGTATTAATAATTTTAAATCTGTAAGTTTCTCTTTGCGGATGCTCTAAAATAGTCAAATGCCAATTGGCGTGTTTTATATCCTAATACTTTGTACGAAGCATCGCGAGGAAATTTTCGTATCTACTGAATTTTTGTTTTCTTTAGAACTGAGGAGAAAAAAACAATTCTGATCGAAGATCCGAAGAAAGGGACAACGAAGATAAATGTTCCCGCAAGGTCCATTAATACGATGAAATATTGGTAGATACATAGCAAGAATATAAATCCGCCGTAATGTCGATAGATATTATACGCGCGCGCAGAGCGTAAATATTAACACACATTTTAGATTACTTTAGTTCTGTAAATTTTTACTGCTATAAAATATTCTTTAGAGTAGATACTTTCTTTAAAAGACAACAAAAAGAATCATTAAGAAATAAACTTTTAAATAAATTGCTAAACTACTATCTCTTCATATAATGCACTTGCTGTAATTATATAATATTATACACATAATTGTCTTGTTTAAAAATTCTATTGAAATTATAATTTCTATGCCTTGAGTATTTGAATACACGTTACATGTTAATCTGCCGGTTTGTAAATACTTGAAACTTCTATATAACTCGGGTAATTTTCATCGAGAATTACAACTCTCACCAAGAATTCTTACTTTTCCCGGACAAAAATTTGCCGAATACATTTGATAAACGCAATGGAAACGGGGTTGCTCAAACGCAATTCAATCTCGCTGAATGTTTAAAAGATCTTCCGCGTTTAATCCGTTGAGTTGACCAATGATTTTAATATGAGCAAAAATAATTTAAACTTCAAGAACACAATTTTCTTAATACAAAACTCAATTATTTTTATGTATTATCTTAAGCTTCATGTATTAAACGTTGTTACAACATAATTATTGATTGATACAACCTAAATATAATTTTATAATGTATAAAATAGGTCATAATTTTACTTGTCAAGTATACGGAACTAAATGTAAAGAAACTAGATTTATTATATTATTTTCAAGATGCTTAAGTAAAATATTAACGCATTCTGTACTATTATCATATAGAATGAATGAATAAAAGTAATTAAAAGAATTTAAATAAAAAGAGAGTAGGACTAGTTAGAATTGTATTCGATATGTGTTTTATTTGAACGAAATAAAGATGATGTAATAAATCGAAATATCTTGCTTTCTTCATTTTCTTATGGTACAATTATTACAGATATCTACAATTGCGTTTATGTCCTTCCTTTCCTTATTCTTTTCTTCATATATTAATTTAATAATTCCTCATTTATATAATTCTTATCGCATAGCAAGAAATTCCCATCAGCAACGTACTTCTGCGTCATCCCAATATTTTTCGAGATCCTAGAAATTGATTTGACAATAAAGCCAGCGGAAATGTTCTTATCGGATGTGTCAGCAAATCTAAAAAATCTGGCGTCATACGTGAATTTAGGGTGAAGGATATTCGCGAAGGCAGAGCGCGGACAATAAAATAAAGCCTGGCTCGGATAGATGTTTATCGATGTATTCGAAGGACATTCTCGGTACTTCCGCGCGCACATTATATGGGTCACTAGTCCAAGGTCCCGCCGAAACTATGCCCCGGAATAACGCGGGAGCTCGTGTGCCACATCAGGTAACACGCTGCAGGCACTTCCTGTGTGACCCATATATCCATACCCACTACGACATTGCTCTCTCCTCATATTTACGTCCAGATTTCGACAAGAGCACGGTGTTTTTAAATGTCTCAAAAACTAGTTAAAACTAATATTTATACATCACTTACACGCATTTTGTAATACTTCGTGTATAAAAGGATTTTATGCCGTGATGGCTTTTTTATTGACAAATTGTCTTTTCTAATTTTTTACAAGTATCCTTCGATTGCTTTTTTGCCGGAAGCTATCTCAATATGAGCGTATAATATAGGAATACATTTTCTAAAAAAAGCAGATGTTGATGACTGCTTGTTTTTAATACCTAATCATACTAGCTCAGTTTTCCAAAGACTCTAAGGAAGAGTTCCATAAAGAAGTATTATATATAATAATGTATCATCGAAAAATGATTGTGCGATAAATTATCGAGTCATGCTTAGATGAACGAAAGAACTTTTATAAAACGGCAATCTAAAATTAAGTTTGTTACTTTGAAATAAATAGAAAGAAATCATTTAATTAAATGATCTCTTTGATTATGCAAGGCAAGAGATTATGCTAGATTAGAGTTTTATATTAGAACGAAAAATGTGTTTGTCGCAAGGAAATTAGAAAATAGTAAAGAGATTAGGCAAGCATTTGAAAAAGAAATCGCCAAATGTGAAAAATATTTCAGGGAATGGGATAATGTGTGTGTGATAGAACGAGAGACAGAAAGAGAAAAGAGATGTAGACAAGGATGTAGATGGAGGTGAAGGTTGAAATTTAACGCGTAAACCGTGCGCTGGCTGCTGGAACGACTCGATGTAGTAGTCTATCGATCTTAGACTAATCTGCGATGGTTCCTAGAGAGAGAAAGAGAGGAGGAACTTGTTCCCGAACGTACCTTTTCACGCTCGACGACATCTGTCGATAAGTTATTCAATTCTCGATGCTATTGGATTTCTCTCTCCTCGTGAGATGAATCCTCAGTTGCGATTTAACTATATCTGGTCGTAACGACTCGATAGAGAACGAATTCATTTTTCGTTCGTTTTTCGACGCATATGTACATCTGTAACGCCCCGGTTTCTGAACGAGCAATTCCGCGATTTCGATTCTCCCGAAGAAGACAAAAGCAGATAGTACGAGACATCGGGGCATTTAAAGGCAGTTGTATACAATTATGAATTAATCTTGGGAGAGATGTGTCCGGTGAACGTGTGATCGTGTGATCGTAATAAAATCCACAAGTCTGTACGCTCGTGATAAGAAGCTCGCGTCTGATTTGCAGCCCATTCAGTATTAATACCATGTATGCAATAGAAACTTCTCTCTCTCTCGCTGCTACGTTACTTGCAGCAAGAAGACTGCACTTGAAGTGGAGGATTAAAATTCATATCCTTGAGAATGGATGGAAGGTTCCTGGATATCTGGTAATGGTATCATTTCGCGCATCGATCATCGCTGTTTTCCGCAAGCAATGGTTATTCCTCCCTTCCCCCCTCCTTATCTCCGTGAAAAAACTCTATAATGAACTTTTTAAATATATTAAATCTCATTTTATGTTTTCTGTAAATTATCAAAAAAAATTTTTTCGAAATTTTATATTCTTATCGTTAGCATTTATATACGAGCTTTTTCCATATCAAGAATGCGTATATCGAATAATGCAGTCGAGTTGTATGCGCGAAAGAATATAGGATTACAGCCTGTATTATGCGACAACACGTGCTTCTCGTGCGCGACATAAAATGACCGATTATGCATCGATGACCCGACAAACGCAGCTGTGGTGCATGTTTCTTATCTCGCGATTGAAATTTACGGAGACAAAGAAATAAAAAACTGAATTTAGCTAACTGACAGACGAATACTATTCGTACTGACTACAACCGTGCAATTTCCGTTGCTGTTTTTATCGGTTTTCTTAAGCTCCTCTTGCATCACATAAGAATGGCGTGTGCATTTCAAGATTCGCGAGATCGCCGATATCTCTTTTTTTTTTTCACCGACAGAACGCATTTGCATTCCGCGCTTGTGGAAACGTAACTATGTTTCTATCACGTGTGAATAGTGTTTTAATAAGACTGGAAGTATCCAGTTTCTGTTTTTTTTCTTTCTTCATCACTTCATTGCATCTGTCAATGTATCTATCATTCAAGGTCATCAGTGGTGCGAAGCTACGGAACAAACGCGCGATCGAATAATCGATACCAGAACGAGAGGAGGCGGTATCGCCGTGCAGTTGCAAAAAATGCAAGCATTAACGATACATCGCCGACTCACGACGTTTAGTAAAAACAAGTACATATCTAACTATCGCTTGCCATGTGCCTCGTAAATAAAGCTTGAATCAAAATCTATCGAACACACTGATGAAACCCAATGATATTCAATCCGATGTTAAAAAGAGACAATACTCATATAGTTGACAATATATATCTTATTCAATTTAGCAAATCAAATTTTATAAGGAAAATTTACTCTCTCTATGCTCGAATTTCTGCCATGTATGGCGCGAATAATTTTTGATATCGCCTGTATATCATTTCTTATCATTAAAGTCTTAGCATACGATTATCACATAAAATAACGTATTGTAATTTATACAATCTTCTCATTGTCAGACTCATCAGATTGTACGTGTCTCAACAGATCAATTTCTAATTTTAAACGTATCACATACATTATACATGTTAAAACACTTATACCGCAAAGCGGTTGCAGTAACATACATACATATTGTGTGTGTAATTGTTAAGTTTTATTGAAATAAAAATTTTAGAAAAAAAACTATATGTGCAAAATATAATTTATATATGTATATTTTTGAAAAGATTTCAAATGATTATTATTTAACAAGTAAATAATGCACATATATGATACAAAGATCTATCTTTTAAAACAACTTTCGCAAAGATTATCTCAAAACCGGAATGTTTGATATATACATATGCGGATATAGTTATGTAAATTCGTCCAAGTGTATCATATATTATTATCTAAAAGTTCTAAATGTTTAACAATGTTTCTTGCTCTCTCAACATAAAGTAACATCATATATACACATATGTATGCACGTAAAATATTGTGTATCAAACCAATTAATTTACATTTAAAGTTATTTGATAATATTGCAAAATTACGTTTCGATTATTTCTACCGTTTTGTGCAAAACTTGCAAATTTGATTAGAATTAAAAACTATTTATAATTGTTATATACGATTTGTAAATGAAGTAATGAGACACGTAATGCACGTTATATGTATTATGTATCTGAGATCTATGGTCGTATATGCGATATCGAAGCGCGTTTACAATATTTATTAGCAAGATAGAATTAATCGTAAAGTTCGTGGAAGCGCACGCGCGCGGTCGTAGATCGAATGATATTCCAAACAGTTGTATGCGAATGATTGATTGCATCCATCTTGTATTGTTTATAATTCTCTTTTTATTTTTATTTTATTTTTATTTTTATTTTATTTTGTAATCGATTTGATAACTTTGTTGTTATATTTTAATTATTATTAATTATATTATATTATTATAGCTAGCTAATAAAAGATCTTTCCTTCTTTTTATTATTGTTATAAAAATGTAAAATATTTGCTATTTCAATATTACATTTTTTAATGTTGACTATCAAGAAATTAAATATCACATTTAAATTAAAATTATATTGAATATAATGCAGAAAATTACGCATGCATATAAACGAGTTTAATCGCGGTTACGCGCAAATATAGTAAATGATTAATTGCAACTACAAACATGACCAGTTTATTTTTTATTTTCTAATCTATATGTCCACTTAACATAAGATGTATATCTACATTTAGATCACACCCACAAACCATTTTCTATATACATATAAACATTATGAATGTGTTTTTTTTTCTTTTACATCGAAAATAGAGTAACATGCTTCATCCTCAAGAAGTAAAAAGTTAGCGCCCAAAAACCTCTGAAATTACGGTTATTTTATACATTTTTACAAATATCAGGGAAAGTATGCGTTTTTTAACAAAAAATACCGAAACAAAAGTTGTGGAGAATTAAATTATCTATCAAATAAGATTAAAATGATTGTAGTACTTCGTTTTATATATACAAGATTTCGTTATATTTGAGCTCAAATTATAGTCGATTCCTGCCTATATAAGAATTTTTTTATGATTATGCGGCGATTATGATTATGCGTATTGTAAAGTTTAACATAATATTTTAACTGTTGTAACAAGTTAACAATCAAAGTATTTCTGTTTTAGAGAAAAGTTGTTACTGTTAATTGATGAATCCTCGACAATGATAAAATTCATCATCAATTATTTACTTTTTTGAATCGTAGATGATCGTTATATAAGTAGCTACAATTATTGCATTTTACGCTATATAATTAAGGTAGAAATATACGCGGTATAGGAGGTTAAGCATTAAATGATTTATAATGATTCATGTAGTTGTAGCAAGATATAGCAAAATGAAGGTCGCGCGAAAGGCGTTTTATTGGCGTAATTTACACACGGATATACATAATGCACACACGGATGTATAATAATACTTGATCTCGTTTACTTGATCTTACGCTAAAATAGCATTGACCTCACATATGAAAAACTATGTAATGTTTTCTTATTTTGTAATAAATCTAATATACATGCATATATTTTGTACAGATCTAATATATCGATTGAATAACAAAACATGTAATTGCAACAGAAGAAAAAAAGAGGGAGAGAGAGAGTTTTATAAATATTAATTTTGTTGTAAATTGCATATATGCGGAACTGTCCAAACATGACGCATTACAGCATAGAATTTCATCAGGTTGTAAAAAGTCATCAACCGTAACAGAAAAAAAACTTCAAGGACTTGTACATTTATAACAAAAAGTTTAATGAGCAGTTATTCTCAAAATGTTTTAATATACCGGAAAATTCTTAGGAAGAATTTTCACATCTTGCGTTAAAAATTAAAATAGAAGCTTTTTTCACGTAAGAGCATATATTAGTAAATATATGTATATGACATAATCAACAGTGTAACAGCTTGTTTTTTCCCTGAATCGTTCCAGTTATTAATTATACATGGTTTTGCGTCATTATCGAGCCCACTGTGGTCGTCACGATTATGAAATCATTATACATGTACTACTCGCAAGCTAATCGTTAATTATAACGTGGTAAATTATCATCAATGACAATTATAACTAATAGTAGTTACAATATCAAAAACGTATTAAAAAAGTTTAATTTTTAAAATATTTTCCGCAGCGTTCGATTAATCATTTATAGTTTTTCCCAGAGAATCTGCTATTAACAGAACATTCGGTAATTTTGAAACATCCTGTATGCGCATAATGGAAATTTTTTTATACATGTTACGTAAACAATTATTTCAGCAATGCCGATATATTTTACTGTTCCGCAAATTAAGACGCGCGAAATCCGTTGTGTGCGGTGAAGACAAGTGTGATGATTCCGCGAAATTTACATAAAAAACGTGTCACAAGTTGACAAAGTCTTTATGCTCGCTGTGTCATGCCGGTCATTCACGATCATCAATAAATCATTAGATTCTCTTGAATTCTCATGAACTGTCGTGGATAAGGATAAATGACAGAATCGCATTGATTCCATCAACGGAAAACGGATAAAATTTCTAAAAATTTATTCGAGATTAAGATATAATTTTGTCATATATACAAAAAATCTTTCTTAGGAAATTAAAAAAGAAATCCCACAATTTTAAAGCAAATAATTTCTTTGAATATTCTGATTGTACTGTAACAATGCTAAATCTATAGAAAGAATACTAAAATATAAGCACGCACGATGTTGTAGTCATGTAGTCAAAAGAATAGACTGGATAGCCTTGGGACTTCAATGATATGATATGTATTTTCGAACTAGTCGATTTAACGCATGTCTGCACCTGGTACGACATATCAATTTAGTATGCCGATATATCGCAGGAATGTCGATATTTGATACATATAAGAAAAATATAAGAAATGCTTGGATGAAGAAATGTGATATTATCTTTAAAATATGAGGAATATATATAAAAATATATGTCTAGATATCTAGAAAAAGGTTATTAACTTTGTTAAAAAAAAACGAATAAAAAGCAGAACTCAGAAAATTAAATTTAATATACTTAATAATAATATCATTATATATATTAGTATTGTACATATATATAAATAAAGAATTCTGTAGAAAGAACTTCTTAAAGCTTTACATGTTCGTGAATCATATACCGTTTTTATGGTAACTACAGATCCGTTTGGTTATTTACGCACTTGCAGATAAACTTTACCAAACAACCAAGCATTTGCGAGACTCATAAATTTAGTACATTCATGAATATGCAAGAAAGCGTTTTTCAGTTAAGAGAAAAAAAATGCAAATTAAAGACGGACAAAATAAATGCGCTGTGTAAAGTGATTTTAGATAAAATAACAATGCTATGAGTTTGATATTAAGATGCGTTAAAGAATGTAAGAAGAAATTAATGAAAAGATATTTTCTGTTTTTTTATTCATGACCGAAATTCTTGCCAATATATATATATAATCCTCAATTCTTCTTTTATCTTATCTTTTTCTCTATTACGTAAAACCATTATATGTGGCTGGTATCAATATATACCAATTTTTTAGTTTTTAATAAAATAATTTGAAAAAGATAGTCTTTTATTTCTTTTAAATCTTATAAAATTGGTTAGTTAAAAGTTAGCTGTAAAGTTGAAACTTTATAAAAGAAAAATCAGGCCACATAAAAATCACATATTTAATTAAAAAATAAACTTATATATGTATCAATTTAAAAGTAATATTTCTTTCACCTACATATTTAAAAAAAAAAAACATCGAACAAATATCTGCAATACTTTATTGCATATTTATGAAAAGTATCTACCTTAAAATGTGTCAAACATGATAAATCTTACTTTATCACTCACACAACGACGCGATAATAATTCTAAATATTTGCATACTTTATAAATAAGACATTGCGTAGTGAGGAATGTGAACGTATAATCTAAAAATGTCAGAGAATTCCTTACGTGATTCACGTCATTTGCGGTTTTCTGTGGGTTTTTACTATTTAGTTAGAGAGAGAGAAGTGTCCTTCAAGGAAGATGACGATCGAAATAAAGAAAAAGGATCAAGCGTCACTAAGAGCGGAGAACTTGCTAATAAAATAAGATAATAAAAAGATTCAATGAGGCTTGAATAATAAAATTAATTAATAAATTGGAGCCCAGACGCGATACTTAGAGCGTAAACAAATTATTATATTTTATTAAATATACATTCAAGATGTATACATTAATTCAAACGTTTCGACCCATTTCGGGTCCTTTTCAATGAAATCAAGATGGACAATTAAAAATTAAATAAAAAATAAATATAGTATATGATAAAACTTCATGAGGAAGAGCAATACAATGAGCGAAATAGCGAACAAAACGCAGACAAACTAAAATATGTATCTTAGTGCGCATATAATATAAATATATATAGAATCTGATATTACAATAACAACAACAAAAATAGCATAATGAAGGTCACACTGATTAGACTCATTAACGCAAATTCTAAACTTATTTTCACAGCGATGTAATAGCTTTTTAAAAAGCCTAAAATATGTATCTTACAGATAATCTGATAATACAAAAAATATAGCATCTTCTTTGTATTATCAGGCTCTATATATATTTATATTGTAACTAAGTTATATTGTAACTGCGCACTAAGATATATATTTTAGTTTGTCTGCGTTTTATTCGTTATCGTTCACCGTATTGCTCTGCCTCATAAAGTTTTGCCATATACTGTATTTATTTTTTTACTTAATTTTTGATTGTCCACCTCGATTTCATTGAAAAAGATCCGAAATGGGTCGAGACGTTTGAATTAATGTATAATATATCTTAAATATATATTTAACAAAATATAATAATTTGTTTACGCTTTAAATACCACGTCTGGGCTCCAATTGGCCTTCCTATTAATTGATTGCTAATAAAATAATCGGAACTGTGAGCCTGTTTGATTGTTCCTTATCCCACCCCTACTCGCAGATGCCAGCTGAGAGAGGCGAGAGTAGAAATATAAACAATCCGCAGATTGTGCCGTGAAATCGTTGATTCCGAACGCGACCGTCGTTCAGGCCGCATTAATTGTGTTCGTGCGAAAGTATATTCGGGAAAACATTGTGAATATGTTTTTGATGCATTCAACGATTTTCGCCTTCTTTTTGATTAACTTCGCCTCATCGGCCGATCTTGATGTGGAACTGCAATTACTTCACGTGGTAAAGGATTATTTAATTTTTCGTAGATACGCGTGAAATCGTAAAATCAATAAAAATCGCTTTTTTGAAAAATGTGTGTGAACAACAAAGTGAATGAATTTTATTATCTTCGGGAACTTTATTTTTCTTTGATTTTTTACAATAAAAAATAGACGTTTGATATTATTTTTCTTTCGAAAATATGAAATAATATTATTTCTAAATTGTTTGAAGTCAATAAAAACAGATATATACTTTCGACGCGCGAGTCATGCAGATGTAAGTTTGATGTCGAGAAAAGTTTTTGAGATAAATTAAGAAGTTACGAGAAACGATCCCTCGTACGAAAGACAAGTAACAAAACATTTGCATTATCGTGACAGTTTTGTGAGGTGACAGTGATGATAATACATGATGATGACATAACTTACACAAGTACATTTTGTTTCGAAGGTATTTCGCCATGGTGACAAAGTGCCCCATCGAGAGTATCAAAATTATCCCAATGATCCGCATCGAGAACACTCTTACTACCCGATAGGAAACGGTGATTTAACCAATGTAAGTAAAAATTATAGCAATTAAAATGAAATATTGTCTTGTGTAATTAAGCAATATCAATTTAACTATATCAGCAATTGCATGATTTGATCATTCAGAAACCGTGTATTATAATATATTCTTGTTTTGTGCCATATTTTCGAATTGCTCACGTATTTTAAAAGTAGATTAAATCACACGCTGTCGTAAAGCGCTTATAACAAAGCAGTTATCTATTTTATGGTCTTCGTCTTATATAACGCGAACATAAGCATTTGACATTTACCGTCATCATCCGAAGTCTCACACGTTACGATATTTCTCATAAAAAAGAAAAAATTAATTATCTGATTTCGATAAATAATTGTTATTTTGAACTGAAGGAGAGATAAATATTTTGATCTCTAAAAGAAACTCGTATAATCTTCCAATATCCATCTCTTGAAGACTTGTCTAACTAATGTCTTCTCTCGTACAATTAGCAAGGCAAGATGCGGGAATACAAAATCGGGACGATGCTGCGCGGAAGATACGATCAATATTTCGGTCCGGATTATTGGCCGGCCAAGATCTATGCCCGATCTACGGATGTCCCGCGAACCCAACTGTCTCTCCAGTTGGTCCTGGCAGGATTATTCCCGCCCTCCGAGAGACAAACCTGGAATCCACACTTGCCCTGGATTCCAACGTGGACGTTCTTCGTGCCGTACAAGACTGACAATCTCTTGTTTCCGCATTACTGCCATCGGTGAGTGACTTTACGGAAATTTAATCACAGGGACATTATAAAGAAATGGCGATCCTTAAATCTTGCTTTTTAATTTCATTTTGCCGATCTTCTTTGTACTTTTTTGTACGTCTACGAACGAATATCTTTTTATTTTATTGTTCTTTTTATTTTATATATTTATTCATTTTTTATCTACAATGCAAGATGAGAAAGAATAAAAAGGAATAAAAAGAAAAATATTCAATTATTTTATCATTTTTATATGCTTCGTATGTAACTCTCTCCAGTAATATTTCAATTAAAAAACATAGTTATTTTCCCTTTTATTGATTTTTAGATACAGGGAAGAATATCAACGGTTCCTTCAATTGGACAGTACAAAAGAGATAATTAATAAATACAAGAACGTAATGAATTATTTGACCGATCATTCTGGTAAATTGATTAACAGTACAGAAGCAGTTACCCATATGTATAATTTACTCAAAGAAGAGGTGAGCAATTATTTCTCGATAGTATAATAAATCGTTTAAAAAATATATTCATCTAAATTTTTATCATACGATCATTTTCAGGCTGCACAAAATTTAACGCTACCAAAGTGGACCCAGAATGTTTATCCTAATCCGATGGAAGAGATGATAGAATTGGACTTCAAACTTCGATCGTATACAAAGACTTTGAAGAAATTAAATGGAGGTTGGTACGATTATCAAAAAAAAATGTCTCTAAAATATACTAGCAAATTTTGACAACATATTTTGTTTACCCGGAGAAAAAAGATCAACTATATAATATATAATGCAGTGAAAATAATGTGTTTTTCCAAAAATTCTGCATCAGAATTCTATTTAGCAAGATTAGATTACAGATACAATTATTTTTTGTATTAATAATAAATACTAATAGTACTTGTCATGTAATCTCTAGTCAGTTTAATATAACATACGTATATATTATACATATAGTAAACTATAAAAGTGAATGTCCAAGACAAAATTATAGCATACTTGATATTCTCATCTGTTCTTTAAAATTAGCGAAAGTAAATATACATTATATATTTTACATTCTCTTAACCAATTGAATGTATTTACGAATACTATATTACGAATATTACATTTCGATATACTCTCAAAACAGTGTACAATACATGAGGTATATACAAAAAAAAATGTATATTTTCTTCTGCTAATTTTAAAAATTAATAGTTAAATAGACGAGAATATCAGACATATCATTATCCATATTTTATCCTGCATTATCTAAATCCAGTCTACATTTAAACTTATGAAACGACAGTGTAAAATGTGTATCGTTACGAGAGGGAGTAATTTCCAACAATTCCTTTAAAACTAAAGGAAACATGATATTCATCCTTTAAGATCAAAGCTCTATGAATTTCTTAAGTATTCTGGCAAAACTTTACCGCAGGCAGAAAGCATTTATAACTCGAAAAGAATGCGTTCCTTGACTTATAATCATGCCTTCTCTCATGTTTAAAATGAATAAAATACGTTGCTAGTATGATAATTCACTCTGAGAATATTTCTCATATATAATTGACACACTTTTTCTTTCATTATTTAAAACAAAACTCTATTAAGATTTTTATTATAATTCTGTATGTACTATTACGTATATATAGTATATTATACATAGGCATATTGCTTCGCAAAATGGTGGATGATATTCGAGAACGAAGAGCAGGAAAATTGTCACATGACAGAAAAGCTTTTCTATTTGGCAGTCACGAAGTCAATATAGCTGCCGTTGCCTATGCTTTGGGAACAAACGAACCAACAGTTCCTGCTTATGGTTCTACAATTATTCTAGAGACTCTCCAGGATAAAAAGGGAATTTACTACGTCCGGGTATGTTACATGATACTTTCCTTATCAATGAAATAAATCCAGGAATTAAATTAATCTATAGACATGCTAGATTTTCCATACAGAACAATCGATAACAAATCTATCCTTCAAAATATAATAAAAAGAAAATCGATTATTCTATCTTTATCATATAATATATAATATATTACACTCCTGTTATAAGATATTTATAAGATATTTATAAGATATTTGTAAGATATTTTAGATAGCGTTTTCACAGGTCTTACTGTGGACTGGCGTTACGGAACAACTGATTATACAGACGATCCCAGGTTGCACGGAATTGTGTCCCTTCGTGAAATTTCTCGATATTGTAAAGGATGTTTTACCGAATGACGACGATTACTATTGTCGACGGAATGATAAAACGACGGAGGATCTTGTACCGCATTATCAATCATCGGCGACACGTATAGCCGACGACAGATTTTGGCGATACATCTTCTTCGTCGGTCTACTCGCGTTTGCGTCGAAATTCGTACAAAAGTGATTCAATGCGGATATAGTCTAGATATTTATTTTTCTTTTTTTTTTCGCGAGGAACGTGACCTTAACCAGGAAAATAGTTGTGAAAATAATCGACCCGGCTCGCATTCTGACCGATACTTGTATCGGAAATACTTCATCGAACTATGAGAGTACTCGGAAGGCCCAACGATGTTGCGGTTATACATTTTGCTGCGTATGTGCGGTTAGCGCGTTGATGTATTTTACCGCAAGTGTTGTTACACTGTCACGTTATACACGCGAACTACTGTGTATATATGTAAATAGCTGACGGTATATTGATTTTATTGTAGTCGATATCGTAATCATTTCAAAACAAACATCTCATTCATAAACACGTATTATCTAGAACGTGGGATTTTCAAAGCCTACGTCGGATTTAATCAATCATTCATGTTCGTAAATAAATGTTGTCGGTAAAAGTTACCTACGATATCCTGTGACATTATCCACTGCCATATAAACATTTAGAAATCGCCTTATTATTATTCGTTAATATTAATATATTGAATAATATTGTATCTTTATGACCTTATGTGTAAAGCACAATGAAAATCAAATATTAATAAACCGAAAAATTGATGAAAAATTATGATATGTGTTTTTTGCCATTACATACTATTTTTACACGTACATATAGATACATTTGACAGTATTAAGGAATAAAAATTATTTTCTTATATATTAAATATATAGATAAATTTTTTATATGAAGCTGATAATAGAAAATAATATAGTAACCTGAAGATGTAAAAAATAAACGTCAGTTTGACAGTCGTTTTAATGTCACAGATATCGTAATCGGATTAAGTTCTCCGTTCGGCGAATGCAAAATTGGAGCAAATTTGATTCCAACGAACAGACTGACTTTTCTATTCTCGTCGAGATGAAGAGTTCAAGAACCTGAACGCGATCGAATAGCAGTTTACACGAGATAGAAATGGATATCACGATTACGATCGACACATTCGTCGCTTTAATTTGGAAAATCGTTAAAATTATAAAAGAGAAAAATGGCGATCTATAATATTTCCATTTGCGTATAATGCGCGATACAATATTTACAATTCGCTAAAATATTTGAGAAACACTGCTCCTGCGCGATCCTTGGTCGTCGTTTTCCGTTCTGCATGGAATCAAGCATCTCGACGTAGATACGCGCAACCAAGAGGGGTCCCTGCACTTTCGTTACGGTGATTCACCTTGCGTGGCGAAACTACGTACGAATGCGTGTGCATCTAAGATGCATCCGTTAAGGAGTAAGTGCGTTTCGTATGAAGCGCGTTATTTACATAACGACGGTTCTTGATGGCATACTGTCACAATGAGGTATCATGATACCACAAATGAGAGAATGATACCATAAATACGCTTATTTTATACTCTTCTATTATCAATGAGATTAGTACATCCGATGCGGTCAAGAATTAAAACGGTATAAAAAATTAATAGCGCGACGATTCCTCTGTTCCCTCTCTCTTCTATTCGACCCGATTTGAAATAGCGAGTTATTATTCGAATTAGCATGAATAATGGCATCGGTATAAATGCAAACTCTATAAATTATGCTCAATAAAAGCTCGTATTTGGTTAACCTGTTTTTCTTTCCACCACTATGAGAGTATAGTTATTTCTGTGATACGTCACGTATTTTTTTATTAAATATCAATTTTAATTTCAAGCGATATATTGATTCGTTTCTAATAAAGAACTAACCGGCGGAGTATTTTAAAATTAATTGTAAGAGAAACGTTTTCGGTACGATATCCATAATTTGCCAACTCCGATATAGTCCAATGTGCTTTGAACTATTCGATACGCGCTATATAAGTAACTGCTATGCTAATTTACACGAAATTGTACGTATACACAGTGTGCAAGTACGCGCCGCTCAATTTAAATAATTAACAGTGTTGAATCAAAACTCCGAAATCTGAACGGGTCGTTAACGCGATCGATAACTCATATTTGTTTGTTAAAGTACATGTACTTTAGACGTCTAATATAAGCGAGAGATTTCTTCTCGTTAGAAACGATATATTTATAATCTTGTTACGATAGTTCTTTATAAAAATACATAATATGCAAAAACACTAGAAATTTTTGCATGATATTAAAAAAATCAATTGCATGTTAACAAGAAGCAAAAATTTTGTAATGTGCGTTATTTATGAATAATGATCGTACGTTTGAGAACATGTGTATCTTATCATAAAAGATGGCAAATTACAAGCGTATAAAGGTGAAGGTGTGGGAATGCATACCACCGATGAGTGGTAGCTAATGTCCTCTCAAGGCAAGGGTTTCTCAATAGACATACGATTGTTTAAGTGGCAGACGCAGATACGGCACCGGCGAAGGAGCATCGTGAGGAATTTCTAGTTTGCATTATGCAAATTCCATCATCGCATATGTTAACCGTTCTTTAAATATTTTCGATATTTCGTCGATTGCCAGCAAGTATGTCGCGAGATTTTGCCACACAAATAAAAGCAAGATCGAATATAAATATAATTATATAAATTATATAAAGAGTATGAATAAAATTAATAGAGAAATTAATTTTGTTATTTGTTACATGACAACAATAATTATTAGAAAGTAATAAGAAAGTGTAAACATATAATTAATATTCTAATTTAATATTCTAATTTAATCATTATTGCTATTCACATACACCCATACATATATATTCATAATAATATATAGCTGATTATAAATATTAGAAATTGTTACAACAGAATATAAATTTTTCAATATTAATATGTTTTCTTGAATGGAATAATTTCTCATTTTTTTTTATACGAATTACCTTTTCGCTTTCTCTTTATTTTTCTTGTTTAAAAATATTTTATTCAGAATACTCTTATGCAAAATGCATCAAGAAAGAGCTTGCTATGAGTCCGTCACGTATTTCTTATAGGCGCTTTCCTCGGCTGTGCAGTATATCACAAATAAAAGATGTAATGCATTCCTCTGTGTGTGTGTGTGTGTGTGTGTGTGTATGCTGCAAGCATTCATGTAGCTACTGTAATATATCCTTTCTTGTCATTGCCGAAGGTCGAGGACAAAGCTTGAGATTCGCGCGCGTGCTCATGAAATGCAATATCGGATTGTACAGAAATCCTGCTTTAACATTTCGGTCTATCTTCATCTTTAACGTTCGATATATACAGCAAGACGATAAATGAAATAGAAAGTAACGTGTGCGTTCTAAGGGAAAAAACATAAACTTCGGAGCCGAATAAGATCAGATTGGAAAAATCCGACAAAGTGGGAGTAGAAAGGCGGTAATAATCACGATTGTTACGAAAAATTACGAAGAATGAGCATTGTATGCATATTTTACAGCAAGACGCGCGCACGATCCCGAACATTAAACCATTGCAGCTTCTCTGGTCATGTACTTCAAGTTACATGTATGCGTATGCGTATTTTCTTACGTGCGTAACTCACCTGCGTGACGATTACATCATTTGAGTCTTGAGAAACGCCGCGTTTTTCCGACCAATAAAATATTCTTCGCACGACGAGTAAGCGAGATTGAATTATTCAACAGGGAAAACGGACTATCACTTTGGTCGAATTTTTATTTGACGTTCTGAAATTTTTCTTAATTAATGATTTTTCCATTCTGTGCATATATTTTTATCATCTCGTGCAATAATATATCGAAATTCCGGCGAAATGTCTTTTATCTCGCGAAATACTAATGGCGGAATCGAGTCTGCGGTATGTGAGCAAGTGCACTATCAACAGCGACTGCGTTAAACCGGCAAATGCATTTTGTATGTTTCGGCAGGATTGTACCCTATGTCGCGTCGTCGAATCGCTGCGATATTCTCCGCGATAAATTCCAAAAAATATTGGAAAGGCTTTACAAATTGAAGGAGAGAGAGAGAGAGAGAGAGAGAGAGAGAGGGAGACGAAATTCATTAATCCATGAATCAACAACGTTTTGATGAATCATAATCTTGGTATAAACTATTAGATATTACAAATCTGTTTCTACGCGAATGCATATATGCAAATTATTATTATTATAAACCACTTTATAACTTTTGTAAAGCGTTTGATTGTATCTCGTAAATTATACGATGTGATACTAGCGATAATTGCACATGAATTGGAACGTGTGACGACATAGCCAGTGACGCTCATTATCGAGATAAATACCTGACGTAATGTAATCAATTTCCGAGAGTACTGATGAGAACCGCGTAGCGGCCGAATAGTTTTCGGAGTTACGAGACTAATTACTTTTACCTAAGACGAGATCGAATGATAAAACAGATAACACGAGTATTCATCCATGTACGCTGTGCGCGCAACTTGTTAATCACTGATTATCGCTAAGAGAAAGGAGCTTATAATAATGTGGAAACATAAATATACAAATATAAGTTACCTTCTTATGACTTTACGACTTTAATTATAAAAAAAATTACAATATTAATGAATTATTGATATTATTATTTCTTCTGGGAATATTATATATTGTAAAAAAGAAAAAGGAAAAAAATAGTTTAACTGATTTCCTCATATTGTTCGATATTAAAAATTGTGACATATGCATTCTGTTTACTAAATTGCTGACGTCCATTCGTCGATGTTTTGATCAAATTGGAAAATCGCGAGACGTGACTTTACGCCGGCGACGTGCGTCAGGTTGCGCAAACGTGACTAGCATTTAATCGCACACGCGCCTGTCGTTTTATGTAACGCGCGCCGAAATGCACATGGACGTGTCAACTTGGAAGGCGTTATAAATAAACATCAGAGAAGATTGCAATAATTCGAGAACTCTCGGCCGATGCGGCACAGATAATGATTCAATAAAATAGCAAGGACTTACCGGCGACGAGTCCAAAGGTTGATGTTGCGAGCGAAGTTGCGTGCATCGGTTGCGATTCGAAGTTATCCTTGAGGTGCATTGCACTTTGAAAATCCAATCCTATGCTGGTAATACTCGAGCCGCTGCATCGGCACGCATTTGGATTCGTTGCACACGGATAGGTGTAAATCGTTTTCACTACTAATGCACTTGCGAATTTGAAGCGCGAACTTCGTTCCGTTCGCTCGGCGGTGTGCTCGTAAAGATGATAAAGTGTCGCGAAATGCACTTGGCGAATTGTATGACAGATAGCGAGTGACGCACGTTGCCAGGTTGAGTACGCTGTCACGCCTCGGGCCTTCACGGCGGTGCAACATCGTAGGCAGCAGGTGCCAGGTAAGGAACTAGGAATCCAGGTGCCCTTGCTGCCGGCAACGTCATTACGCGGCCGCGACTCGCTTTCGCAATTTGCGCGGCGCGCTTCAGAGATGTGCGCAGGCGCGCGCCACTCTACAGGTCAAGTAAAGAACGGACCGGAGATTTAACACTGCGTATACCTAGCAAAAAAGAGAAAGAAAACGGTTAAATCTCATAATATCAAAGATGCAACTCGATAGAGTTCGAATTACAATAAAAAAAAAAAAAAACAGAGAAATATGAAAGGAATTTGAATTGTGTTGTACTCGCGCAAGCCGACTCCGTTGTAGCTAACGATAAGACACATTTCATGTTTAGATAACAGAAATTTGTGCTTTAAGCAAGTTTCAAGCACAAATTTACTTTATAGTATTATTTTGTTTTCTATGCATGCATGCCCTATAACAATAAGATCTTTTATCCAAGATATTTTATTAAAAATATTTCACAAAGAAATTGAAAACGAATGTTCGAGTAAACCACTTTAAGCGTTACAATGTAGTACAATATTTTGTTTATCGTCGAGTATTATTTAAGGCATTTCTGTATTTTCTTTTAGGTAAATACTGTTTACATCATTCATACCTTGAATTCTTTTATCTTTGATTTCCTTTTCATCATCTTGGAATTTTGAGACGGATATTTGTCGGTGGATTCCGGCGTCCGTCGTTCCTCGCGCATCGATGTCAAGCCATAGACGTATAACGATATAGCCGAACGAAACGCAACACTACAGTACAATACGCTATTTCCATTAAACTGAACATTATAAAGATTAACATATTCGATGGGAAATTTGAAAGGACGCGAAGAGGGCGCCACCGTCCGCCTGCCTTTCGCTCGCGCATGACCACAGCCAACTTCGAGCGACAGCGGCGGCGGCGACACGCCAGTGTGAGTGGCGTCTGATCACCGCTAATTATCAATGGCGCGATGACGCGACGCCGTACTACAAATGGCGGGCAAAGAAACAGCTGTTTATGTCACCGCTGGCTCGACATCTAGCGGAGCGCGGGCGCGATCGGGCACGCGTCGGCGACGATGTCGACGTAGAGTACGTCGTGGGGAGGAGACGCGTAGACGAGGAATAAGGAGAAGAACCGAGACGGCAGTGCTCGCTGGTGAATCGTCCAGGGGGAACATGGCCGCCGGTTGCTGCGGCGCGAAGAAACAGAGGCTGGGCGGCGGCGTGGCGCCGAGCCTGTCATCGTGCGACGGCACCGTCATACGACACGGCGCCCCTCATCCGAGGAAGCCGACGACGATCGCCCAACCGGAAATGGGTTTCTTCTGCTTCGACGTGCTCTATTGCCAACTGCATCAATTGGATCCGCCGAAAGCGCCCAACTTCAGCAACGAGGCGTTGTGAGTAGCTCTCGCGCGATGTATCTCTCTCTATCTCTCTGTCTCCCTCTCTGTCCGTCTTGTCTCACGCGTCGCATCAGCTGTTGTCTCCGTTTATCTTCGATGACGCGCTTTATCCGCGTCACGAAGGTTCTTGTGATTTTTAAGATTAAATTTCGATGTTTACAGTTATAGAAAAAAGGGCATCTCTTTATGTTAATTATATAATAATCAGATTTTTATATGTATTTGTTATTATATTTTGAACTCGTCAGTTTTTTTTTTTCATTTTCGATATTTGACATCTATCGAGAAATCTACTCGTCAAATTTAATTTGATTCTTGCATGTAGATTATCTGTCGATGCACGGTGTATTATCGTGGCGCATTTCGATTTCTCGTATTCTTCTATAGCGTCATGCTAATTATGTAGGCCAACGAGGACGCATTGTTGTTACTATGTCCACAGAAACGTTAATAAGAATTGCTATGCTTTATCATACACACTCCTTTATTATGTATTAATTTCACTACCTCGAAAAAATTTACGGCGAAAGATAAATTCAGAAACTGCTAGTGTTCTTGTTATATTTATTTTTACGAACACACAAAAAGAATTGTTTCTTTTGTATATTAATCATATGATAAAATCTGAATTTTTATTAAATACAATGGAATCGATATAATCTGATTGTATTTTGCTTTCTCCTTTTTATCCATTTGTTGTCTAAAAAATAATGTGTCTAAATATAAAAATTTTAATATGGGTGCGTCTTTTCAGCCCATTATTTGTGACGTGGACAATAGGAAAAGATATGAGATTACGGGGTTGTATCGGTACTTTTAATGCGATGCATTTACATGCTGGTCTACGCGAATATGCTACAACTAGGTGAGACAATGCTTCTCACATTAAGATATATAACATAATTAATAAAAATACATATGAGAGAGATATAAGGTATATTGAAATATATATAAAAGACTTAGAATATATATCAGAATTTAGCATATTTTTTATGCGAATAACTGTAATATTTAACATAGTGAGATAATAGCAACTCTTCTTATCTTTATATATGTTTTATCTGTGTTTTAAAGCGCATTCAAAGACTCTCGATTTAATCCCATAACTCAAGACGAGCTGCCACGTTTGCACGTAAGCGTGTCGATTTTGCGACATTTTGAGGACGGAATTGATTATTTAGATTGGGAAGTGGGCGTGCATGGAATTCGCATAGAGTTTCACAATGAAAAGGGTAATAAGCGAACGGCTACTTACTTGCCCAGCGTAGCTATGGAGCAAGGTGCGTATCCGATCCGATAGTGTAAAATAGGACAAGTCTTAGAAATTACCGAGACTCTATCTTTATTTCATCTTTAAAAAAATTACGTTCAATCCGATATTCAGGATGGGACCAGATACAAACAATAGATTCTCTACTCCACAAGGGTGGCTTCAAAGGTCTAGTCACACCCGATATCCGTCGTAGCCTGAAACTGACTCGTTATCAGAGCGAGGAAGTCACCGTGAGCTATCAAGATTACATGACGCATTGTCACAATCGAAGATGCTAGCAGATCGCCTGGGGTCCTAGCCAAGGACCCCCGCTTCAACGATCCGCTGAAGCTCGCTATAACAACGCCCATACAGTCAATTCGTCTCATTCGCAAAATGATAACACACGGTATAATTCCTTCGCATCCGGTCGACAACACTCGCAGATCGTGACACAGCCTAATCGTTCGACGTTTATACATCCGTTACCCCTGCCCCCAATTTCCCCAGTTATAGTACCGATACGCAATAGTCCACCCTTCTGGTGGGATAACGCAGGTCCGTCCTATCCGCCTGCGCCACTTTACCCTCGACCAGCATATCGCTTTTCGACGCAGGAAAACACGGAACGTGGGGTACGTAAACGAAAATGACACTGGAAGCGGTTGTTCCTCGCGATTTTCCACTGTTTAAAGTGGTGCGTATTTTTGTGTCTCAGTATACATAGCCTCCCGTTTATGATACCGCATGCTCCGTCTCGAGGATAATAACTTCATATATGATGGCACCGCCTAATTATTGATTGTTGTGCTGATGTTGGAATTATAAGTAATCGATTAATCGCGATATTAATATTTATCACATATATATAGCATTTGATATTTACAATTTGATTCGAAATTGAATTTATACACACACGCATTGGTATGTTTTAAATATTTTTAAATGTTATATTAAAATAATTCTTAAAATGCCTAAAATTTGTCGATTTTGGAAATTTATTGATATATAAACAACAAAAATGCTTAATTATATCTATCGATTAATTTTACTTTTTCATAAATATATTTTTTTTCAATTTCCTTTTCATAATAGCAATTCGCGCTGTTAGCATATTATAAAGAATCTGTGTGTGTATATTTGTATTTGTTTCGATATAATATTTTACGAATATAAAAATGATAATGAACACTACGTATAAGACAGTGAGTATGCTTAAAATTCACTGCCTGCTTCACAAGATTTAATGTACAAACTGAGATATCGAAATTATTCCATTTTTGTATAATATGTATGGCATAAACTATTCTTAGACATATATCAAGTGAAAATTGAAGAAAAATTTAAAGTTTTTGATAAAAACGTAGTTTCTCTCTGTTTTAATATATTTCTCGCTAAAATATATATTTTATTCGTATTACAGAGTGTGAACCTTTTTACATCGCGCGATAGAAAGATTTTCGCCTTATTGAAATATATCAACTATATATTTAATTATATAAAACAATAAACTTGATAAAAAAGTGACATAAATCGTCTATAATTGATGATTTAGTTAGTCAAATTTTAAAAGAAGCAAATATGTATAACACAGTAGAAAATATGTATAAATAAATATTAAATATATTAAATATAAGTTAGATATAAGTGAAAAAATATAAAGATCTCATTGTGAGTTTAAGATTAAATGTTTTTTCGATTGATACACATCATAATTTCGTAATAATTACACTAATTACAATATCTTACGCTGTGCGTCTATTAATGTATATATATTTCGTAAATGAATCGGATCATAATATTATATGGTTTAAATTAAATATTTGTCTATATAAATTAATAATATATTTTTCGGCGTTAAAATTTTACTTTTCTTTTGAACTGCCAGCTATTTTTTCAATAGCAGGCTTTAAACACTGCCAATTTTTATTCGCGCTTTATTATATCTTTTATATTATAATGAACTTTGTTAAAAATAAATGAAAATTGTTATTGTATCTTTGTTACTTATGTCTACGCTATTCATATTAGAGTTCACGTTATTATTTATATAGTCTTTGCATCGATAATAATTAGCGAGTTCCTGAAAAAGATCTTGCCTTCTGAGTCTCGGCATAAACGTCCAATTAACTGCCATGCATACTTCATTCATGTATGCGCTCATTTGGCCTATGGGACTCTATATGTGTAATGGATGTTACGATTTATGCATATGTGAATGATGCATTTTTATAATTAAAAACGAAAATAATTCTAACTAGTATTGTAATTATATTTTGCGATATATACTAGTAAATTATATTCGTGTTTCTAGAATTTGATCTGTAAAATACAATAAAAATGCACTTACAAGCAAATTACTGATGTTATTAATACAATTAAATAGAGCTAATAGATTAAGTATTAACTGAATTCGGTAATTATTGTATTATATATAAATTTATTGAATGAATTATTTAGTATTTTGTAAAACTCATAGAAATCTGTATAGGTACATGTACGTACATATTTTATAATTGCATAGAGTAAACATACGTGTGCGCATACAATTTACCTTAATCTTTTTCTTAATAATCAATCAAATTTAATATAAAGTTACATGAAGAAAAATATTAATAATTTTTGAAGCATAGCCTATACTTTTACAAATTAATATTATTGTTATATTTGATATCTTCTTTCTCTGATATTAGTATAACATTAATTATATCACACAAGGCGAACATATGCCTGTTTTGATTGCATATTAATAATGTGGCGAAAAAGCCATAAATCGTTCTTTATTCATTCATAAGTTAAATATAGCAACTTAAATTAAAAAGCCACAAATATATAAAACTCGGTGAGATTTTATGTTAGGATATTGCAGACAACTTTTTACTGTAATAAAAAGAATAAAATAAAATTTTATATTGTCATAAAAATTATTGTAAAATTAATTTTTCCTGCATTGTTTTTTCTCTTTTTCTTTTTTTAAAAGTTTCAATATACATCTCTGTTTTATGCTATGCGTGGAAAACGCACTCTTATCTCATTCAAACACAGAAAGAGTATGAAAAAAAGCGTAGCTAAAAGCATATAAATCATGCATAAATACATAATGTATATATATTTATCTATATATATTTCCTAATCATGCAAAGGAACAGCTACGAGATGGCGCCGCGGTGTCACGCGCGCGAGTAGATGCAACACGCAACCGGCGTCGCGACGCACAGCCGGCCTGATCGCGTCGCGTCGTAGATGTGTATATCGGCGGCAATCGCGGTGTTAGATCGCACGCGTGTTTCGTACACGAGCGTAAGAGCGCGTACGCGGCAGACGCATTACCGTCGGGGTTATACGCCCGGTGACAATTTCCCATTGTGCGCGTTCGACGGTGATCTTTTCCCCAGCGGGGCCATCCGGTTGGCGTACGGGCGTCGACATGTTGCCGTGTTCCGGCCGAGTCCTCGAGTCGTATATCGTGTCCGTGCATCCGTTTCTCATCGCCCGAGAAGTTGTGAATCCAAAGAAATTGCACGTCTCGTCGCTCGTCGTTAACGACGCGATATTTATGCGATCTTTGTTCGTTTACGCCGACTTACGTTATGCTGCCGTCTACGACGTAGTTGGGTGCCGTTCTTCCACCCTCGTAAAAACGGCCGAGGGTGCGTGACGAAATCGGATACTCGCCGAAAGACACGATTTTTCGTAGTTGCCGCGGTAAGTAAATCGTGCGGAAATGGAGAATTATAAAAGGACGCTCACTGACATCCGTTGCTTTTACTCGCTACGCTGATTTTCGTCTCGTAAAGACTCGCTAAATTAAACTGCGAACAAAACATACAATCAATTCATGCACATCTTTCACCAGTAAAAAATAACTTTAAAATTTGATCTTCTCTATATTGTATAATTTACGAATGATAAACTTGGAAAGGGAGAAAAAGAAATATATGAATCATGTAATATAAAAAGTTAAAGATTTCATCTTTTTTGAATTCGGCCAAATAAATGTTATTTAACGTTTAAAAAATATCAAACTTACGTAACAATTTGTAAGACCTACGATAAGTGACATCGTTGTTTTAAAATTAATTTGATTTGAGGCAGTAGAGATTAAAAATGTAATCACTGAATCATATTTTCTTAAAAGGAAACAAAAAAGAACAACACGCATTGTATTGCACATTCAGAATTTTAATAATTGCCTCTGTTATACTTATTATTCAATAGATAGATTGAGAAATTTACATACACTCGATGTCATGTATGTTTTCGCGTATGAGATTAAGTACTTTTACATTACGCGCGTATCACGTAATTAACGCATTATGATATTCGTACACATTCTTTATCAACAATTCTAATTTGAAAGTGCTTCTCTAGCTCGATTAAATGTGAAGCCAATTTACTAATGATTAGTGAAATTTGCATCCAAGATACATTTCGCGTAATAAAAAAACGATGCATCATCGTTCAATCTTCCGCTTTTTCAGAAATAGAAATAATTCGTTATACTATATCATTTTTTTACCGCGTAAAACGCGTTGTCGCATGCTATGTGCCGCAATCATAAGAAATACATCGAGAAATACAAGCGAAGACGCAATTCGTAAGCGAATGAATAAACGTTGTTTTGATGTCGTCGTTTGTATTGACAGAGGGACGGGCGGAAAGGACGGCGAGACGAAATGGCGGGCGATGAAACAGCTGTTTCGGCGCGCGCGCGCGTCATCTGGCGGGGCGCGCGCGCGGCAGAGCACGCTAGATGACGGCGGTGACGGTGGCCGCGACGGGCGACGGGCGGCGAGACGAGACGAGGACGAGACGAGGACGAGACGAGAGTGAGACGCGTACGCGGGTCGTAGACCGTTCGGGTCCGCAGTTCGCGTCCGCAATTCGAGTCGTGTAGTAATCGACAACAACGACGGCTAATTGTAAGAGAGAAATATGGCTGCCGGCTGTTGCGGTACGAAAAAGCAAAAGCTGAACAACAACTCCGCGGGTGCACCGTGCAACGGCACAACGGTATTGTCGAACGGTACGCGTATACGTAATACACCGATCGTGCAACCCGAGATGGGTTTCTACTGCTTCGATGTCCTCTACTGCCAACTGCACCAACTTGACCCACCAAAACCGCCCAACTTCAGCAACGAAGCATTGTGAGTGAAAAAATCACGTTGAGCTAGTCTCACCTAGCATCTCCCTATAGGGCTATTCTCTAACTTCTTAACGACGGTGTCGTTATCCTTACATACCGTTACGCAGCTAAAATGTATCGGAAAATAGCTACATAACGACGCCTAATGATAGCGAATTTATCGTTAAAAGTTTAAGTTACAAAATAGGGATACTGTTTCTTTCCCTGTCTTGACTATGCGTTGCCCCAATTGTATCTCTCTCTCGCGCTCGTGGCTTCCCCGTGCGCGTCTTCCCCGCCCCACCGTTTCATTCTCTCCTCTGCCAAGGCGCCTTTTTTCTTTCGTCGCTGTCCTTTTTCTCCCGCCACCCACGCCAGCGCGCTTCTTTGTTGAAACCGCTCTCGCTTTTATGTTTTCAACCACTGTCGTTGCGTTGGGTGAAGAGGAGGAGGAAGGCAGGCTACGAGGACGTTTGCAGGCTCCTCTTCGTTTTTTATAAGATGCGCGTCTTGTATTTTCGATATCTTCTCTTCTGAACTGTCAACCTCGTGCCGAGGTTATGCAGAATGCATTGTTCAGCTAAATTTATCTATATGTAAACGTTGGAGCTTTCTGCCTTTGTTGTTACATGCGCTAGTTCTCTCTTCGATTTATAATAAATAAAAAAAATCGATTCCCATATCATGCTTTTTTGTTCTTTTTTAATTCTATTTTGCTCCTGTTGTATTTAAGAAATATAATTATTGATTATTAGTGTAATATATTTTATGTATACCTATACATATTTGTATTATATAATTATTTACATGTGAAGATAATAATAAGCATTGTTGACTAAAAAAAAAAAGTCTGATTATTAACGTTTTATACAGCTCATACCTAAAATTATATCAAAGATTCAGTAGTAGCACAAGCTCTTTTATAAAACAAATCTGTCAATGTATTTTGTGGTTTGTAATTATTCTATTAATACATTCTTTTCTATATCTTTTCAGTCCTCTGTTTGTAACATGGACTATTGGCAAAGATATGCGACTACGTGGCTGTATTGGTACATTCAATGCCATGCACTTACATGCAGGACTTAGGGAATATGCTACTACTAGGTAATATATAATATTTTTATTTTTTAATTTGATTAGATTATAATTCTGAAATGCATTTTTAAATAATTAATTATATTTTATAGTGCTTTTAAAGATTCGCGGTTTAATCCTATAACCCGAGAGGAACTTCCACGCTTACATGTAAGCGTTTCTATCCTGCGGCACTTTGAAGATGGTGTGGATTACTTAGATTGGGAGATAGGAGTCCATGGGATTCGCATAGAGTTCCATAATGAAAAGGGCAATAAGAGAACCGCTACTTACTTACCTGATGTTGCAACTGAACAAGGTTTGTAAATATGCGTCCATTATATCATGAATTGTTACTGGATTGTCTTATTGATCATTATATTCTTTACAATCTACCAAATTAATGTTTTTTTTCTATGTAGGTTGGGACCAGATTCAAACAATAGATTCGCTATTACATAAGGGTGGTTACAAGGGCTTAGTTACACCAGATATTAGACGCAGTGTGAAACTGACTCGATACCAGAGCGAGAAGATTACTGTAAGCTATCAAGACTACATGACACATTGGCATAACCGAAGATGCTAGCAGCTGGCTTGGGGTCCTATTCAAGGGCCCCTACCTTGCCAAACTGCTGGCACATTTTGTTACAAAAATACTGTTGACACAGTTAATGCATCTTATCCACAATACAGTACTACTCAATACAACTCCTTCATGGCCAATCAACAACATACATTCGTTATGGTTCAGCCGAATCACCCCACATTCATACATACACTTCCAATGCCACCGATTCCTTCAGTTGTGGTACCTATGCAGAATTATCCACCATTTTAATGGAATTATGTATTGCATCCTTCAGTGCACTATATTGTTATTCTTTCATAAACTTTTGTAAAGCAAAAAAAAAATAAATCAAATGAAAGGCGTAAAAAATAACACTGAAGGCGGCTATTATGTACAATTTTCTATTGCTCGAATTGGTGCTTATTTTATTTTTATTGTTCAATAGCGTTTATTCTAGTCTATCTTTCACGATTTTTCTGGCCCTTCTTGTACAATAATATTCCTCAGATAACGAAAATGTACAATTTTGAGTATGGTGGCAATGTTCTTCCAAAATAGTATTTGCTGTAAGCATAAATAATATTGGCTAGATATTTGTATAAGATAGATTCTTGTTCTCGTATTGTACAATTTTATGATTGTTAAATTGGAAATAATAAAAGTAATCTATTTGCGTGTGCAACAACGCAAGTTTAGTTTGCTGTTCAATACTTATCATTTGATAATACAATACCAATCAATATAATACTATGTAAATAGTAAGATTAGCTTTGCCATCATGCTAGGACATTTGACACTCATTAACATATGGGAAACGAATGGCGCAAAGAATTTCGTAATACACATACATAATATTGTTTATGTAACTAAAAGTGACTATATTAGTCCATCCATTTGATAAATTCATCATCTGGTCATTTGTTTACATTGCCTGTGTCATTAAAAGCAGATTTAAAGTGTCAATACAATATTCTGATTTTCTTAAAAATGGCCAAGTATATATATATATATAGTGATTTCATCAGAGTTTCTATAAAAGTTCTCTAATTTCTGTAAAATAATACAAATGTGCTCACGTCATTTAAAGCTTAAAAGAAATTATTTACTTTCTTTCTTCAAGATGTAATCTTTAATTATACTTAACATTTGATACAATAACACTTAACGTCTATACATAATTTCTTTGCATCAATGGTATAAATAAAGATTTTTCTTTTAAAAGATTTTTTTATTGAGTTATTACTAATTTATTTTTGTGTGGACATTGATTTTTTTCTGTTTTTAATAATATATTCGGATTGTGTTGTTTTTGAAATATAAAAGTGACATTAAATAATATTAAATGTTGTATAAACTTTTAATGTTACATATTTATACCATTCCTACAATGAAGTTTAAAGGCGTTTGAATTAGTACATTAGTTTAGAGTAGGCCAAAGTTTCATTACAACAAAGGTTTCTTTATATTAATAATGCTAATTAAATTATGATTAACTTTTAACTAGATTTTAATATTTTAATACATATTTTTAATGAAATTTAATTTGAAAAAAAAAACGTTATTAATATATTATTTATTATATATTAATATATTATTTATGTTTAACTGCTTTTATATCAGTAGATGAATATATTTGATGATCTAGCATTAAACCTTTAATGTAAAGAAACAATGGACTACATTATACTAATAAACAAAAAAATATTAAGTATAGATATAAAATATAGATTTAAGACATACATTAACGAAAATGACGATCTCATTGTGATGTTGATTGCTGTATAAATCATGGTGACGATTCATGTTCATTATGATGACATCAGGTAAAATCTTTTTCCAACGCTTAAAGATAATAAAATGATACTAAAACTAACAAAACACGATTATATATATTATAGATGTATAATTGGTTTAAAGATAGATAATGTGTATTTGAAGAAAAATAGCATGGAAAAAGGTGTACTGGAATACAGATATCAGTGTACCATAAATGCATGGTACATTTAATAGCATTGTCACATATAAATAGGAGTTTAGGAATATTTTATATTAAACTATCATGCTTTGTAGATTCCATGGCTATGCGATAGCTGGTTTCATTCACTGCCAACATAATCATTGTTGTAGATATTATACAAATCCTATTCTCAAAAGAATAAACAAATCAGGTTGTTGTACTTTGGTTGAATTGATGCATTAGCATCTGGTGTGTTATCTTTTATATATATTCTTATTGCATACACATATAGTTCCTGGGATCTCCTTACTACTTGGGCCCTGTGTAACGTCCAGTAAACTGCCAGTAATATACTTAATTCTAGAATAGTTGGCAAAATCAAAATTGCTCTTATCTGTGCCCATATTGACTTCCGAAACCTGATCACATAAAAAATAAAAAATCCTTTCCTGATTAAAACATTTAGAAGACATAATATAGACATATATATAAAATGGGGGGTGCTACTATGCTATTTTCTTGAATACAAGCTGAGAGAGATAGGAATTCAAGAAGTATGCAAATTTAGTAACATAAAGTTCATAAAGTAGTTTGTTTAACATAATAAAAGATTAAACAATTTGACTTAAATCAGAATTTTCATTTATTATATATTTTGGAAATCTATGGAATACACATCTCACGATTTTCAAGATAAAATCTACATCAGTAAATGAGAATATCGATTTTTCAATCTCGAGCTTATAAATAAATTAATGTATTATATTTAATAATATGAGTTTATACATATATATATATATATATATCTGATTTGAGATGTCGTAAACTTATATATCAATTAAATAAAAAAATCAACACTTTCAAAATATTTGTTCTGAATCAGAAAAATTGTATATATCATAAATATTTAAAGCAGCGACATTTTAAACAATTTAAAAGTGTTTATTATTGTAATAAATCATATGGTGCCTAGATACTGGATTAATTTAAAAAAAAAAAGGAAATACAGTAATGTATAACTATATAGAGGACTCTCTTGTAATAAAAACAAGAGCACACACATTGGTGTGAATGATTATAAATAGATATCTTATAACATTATGTCAGTGTGATGAAATAAAAACACATTTTTATATTCTACATATCATTGCGATCTTTTTGCCCTTATAGTATCATTAATGTATAAATCTAATAGAATAATTAATCTAAATAAAGCATGATAATGGTTAATGAAACTTATTTTTAGAATGCAATAAAATCAGTCATACCAAAAAAGAAAGAATGCTTCTTTAATTTATATGTATATATATATATATATATATATTTTACTACAATTACGATAAAATATTATATATAAAGTTTACAAATCATTTGACGCATGTTTGTAATCTCTTTGTTCTTTCTCTAAATTTTGCACGTCCAGTATATGAAGAAAAGATTTAATTTGTGAATGTGTTATAAAACCAGCCAAGAGCACATGAAGAGTGAAAATTGTTGCAAGTATGGGTATCATTGGCTGATAAGCTGATGAAATAATTCTATACATTCCTTTCGTATCAGTTATGTGTGGTATGTTATATAATCCACTGTTAGCAGCAATCTATGAAAATCAAATGTATATAATAATAGCATAATAAATATAAAACAAAAAAATGTTTATATGAAGAGATTAGCATCATATAAGAGTAATAGAGCAAAGTTTATACTTACAGAGAAATTTGCGAGTGGTGCTAATATCAGTGGAAAGAGTAAACCAGTACAAGTTTGCAACAAAATAGACTTGGATTCCAGGCATAGAGGGCAAGGAACCTCTAATAACAATAGTCTATTCAGGATAAGCTAAAATATATATTATATTTTGTATTATTACCTTCCTGTTATTGCATGAAGTTACTGAATATTTTTGCTTATTCAATTTTTATTCGCAGATTGTACCTCCGAGTTAAGAAGTGATGTCGCTATAGTTGGGCCTGCCACAAGACCAGCTATTGTGGAAACCAAACCATACTGTCGCAGCTTTAATTTCCTTCTGAATCGTTGATTAATATAAAGACCGGCAAGTGCCGCCGCTCCAGACAGAATAGGGCGTCCATATATTAACGACCATCTAAAATAAAGTACCGTTTTATATGTATACATCGTGAAGGAAATTTATAACTTCCGACGCAATATGAATAATAAATAATCATTCAAGGCAAGTGCTTGATCCGTTTTTTTTTTGTTTTTTTTTTATCGAAAAGTATGATAATCTGATAGAAGATAAACAGTAGTAATGGGGTTATGTACACATCGCTTTGCGGTTTCCAGTTTGTAACAAGTCGTGCTTGATGGTTTAAAGCCTCGATTTTTGACATTATTATGGCACCTTTCGGTATTTCGTGTCGAACGCGTTCTTGATGTGCCGCTTCCATTTTTTTCGATCTTTTAGATCACGATGTCGACAAAAACACTGTACTCGCGCGACAACAGCCGCATAGATATATATTACTATATGTATATAACAGAACGAGTACGCACGGCTGAAAGTTACGCAATAAGACAAGACTCGTTCGCTTTCAATTGAATTTTTTATACTTTGCTTCTTTTCTCTTTCCCGTTTCAAAGCCTGTTTACATATATAGAAGGCGCAAAAAAAAATAAGATTGAAAAACATAGAGATCTAATTTTCTAACAACGTAACATTTCTAGTAACGTAACAATGTGACGATAGAGATTCCTTTTATTTCATTCGAAATTTTTTTATTTCTCAGAAATTCTTTATTTCTTGGATAAAATCTCGGGGAAAAATGTATACAGAAGAACTTTTGTTAACTTTAATTCTCCAGGGAAAAAATTTCATTTGAATCTCTCTGCACATTTCATGAAGTTTTATCTTCTCGTTGAAATGCATTAAAAAAACGTAATCTCGGTGAACGATTATCATATCATATATATATTATATCATTATTTTGTAATTATAATCGATAATATATATTTATATTTTTTGTAATAATTTAATATTATATATATACTTTGATA